AGCAGTGTGTCAAGCACTTGCCTCAAATAACTCCATCATTGCATAATAGTTCCATACCAGTTGTGGTACTAGGTCAAATTAATCAGGACACTCCCTGGGTTTCAGCCCAAATCCACGCTGAGTTATTTGATTTCGGTCACTTGCTTCAGATGCCTTTTTAGGGTTAGAAAAAAATCTGGCAGCTTGCTCCTGCTCCCAACTTCCATCCAGGAACTGTTATTACATTCATTTAGGGAGATGGTCATGCCAACATTTATTGCCCATTCCCATTTGTCCTTGTACAATATGAGATTTGTACATGTGGAAGGCCCAAAGATCAGGAAGCAGGGTACTTTATTCCACATGCATCAGCTTGTTCTAAACAGAAGGGAAATTAAGGATACACAAGTATACACTACGACCATTGGATGACCATGTGGGTTACATTTGGCACTCCCCTTCCCTTCTCAGCAGCCCTCACTCTGCCAAGGACATACTTTCTCTTCCAGTCAGAGTCCATTCAACTGCTCCAGCTGCCCTCCCTCATATACGCCACCTGCTGGTGGATGTCTGGCAGAACTCTTCAGCTCCCTTGCTCAGTGTCTCCGTCACTGTCGGCACCTGCTGCTGGAGTTCCAACACATCTTTTGACATCTTGGGAATGCCCATGTTCCACACACAACAGGGACTTGGCTCCCCACCAGTGGAAAATGAGGACAAACCAGACGTCCAGGACTACCAAATGGGCTCGCTGCAAAGTCGGCAACAGACACAGTTTTAACTGCTCCAGGTTTTATTTTGCATTGATTTAAACGAGGGAGGTGGTCTCCAAAACGAATTTGAAGTATTGTCCTCTGAAGGCCATTGGACAGAAGATTGGGTGCGGTGAAAAATCATCTGCCGTTTCACATTTATGTTGAAGATCAATTTGACTCACTTGGTGCTGGAAGATTCTACGCTGCAGTCACAGTGGTACAGCAAATAGCGAGTCCTCATGAAGGTCTCATGGGATTCACTACATCTACATCCTATGTGGAAATCACAAGCTTTCCCATTAAATCACGCCAGTTTTGGGCCAAATCTTCCATTTGATTCTTCAAAGGCTTGACAGAGTGCATTATGGGTAGTTAATCCTCCTGCCTGGGGAATCTACTACCAATGGACACTGTCACAAAGGGAGCAGTCATTTTGGACAGAGATGAGGAGAAATTTCATCAGAAAATCGTGAATGTTTGGAATTCTCCACTTTGTGGATGCTCAGCAATTGAAGGTATTCAAGACTGAAATCAGTAGAGTTTGGACTCTGAAGGCAGGAAAGTGGAGTTGCAGTTGAAGCTCAGTCATAATCCTATCGAATGATGGAGCAAGCTCGAGGGGCCCTGTGCCAGGCTCCCATTTCTCGTGTTCTTCAAAGTGCAACACATCTGTGATCAGCTCAATCTGTTTATTTTTTGTCTCTGGTGCTTCATATTTCAAACACCTTTTGTAGCATGGTGGGCCTGTCTGGTGGACAGAGACCGGACCTGTATTCTCGAGAGTTTTGAAGAGTGAGAGGCGATCCTCATTGGAACCCACAAAATGCTTAAAGGGACAGACAAGGTGGATGTAGGTGAGATGTTTAGCCTGGTTGGGGAGTCTCGAACCAGGGAACACAGTTTAAAAATAAGGTGACAGCCACTGAGGACTGAGATATTTTTTACACAGAGGGTGGTAAAGCTTTGGAATTCTCTAGCCCAGAGGTTTGTGGAAGTGCAGTATTTGAGTCTGTTTGAAGTTGAGGTTAATAAATGGATCATGACTGACTCTACTCTCAGCTCCATTTCTCTGCCTTTGGGCTTCATAACATTAGACACTCTCAACAACCCAAAATCTAGCACTGTCAGTCATGAAATGTTCACTCAACCTCCAGCACCTACAGCCAATTGATGGAGAAAATTCCAGATGCTTTTTATTTGAAAAAGTGAATTGCCTTCTGAAAGGCACTGCTGTAATGTTAAGATCAGGCCTCGTTGGCTTAGGTTCGCTGGCCTGGAACGAATAATTTCTCCGTATCTAACATATCGAATTATTTTGTTGTTTTAAATAGGTGGATTTGATCATCCCTCAACCATCTAAACTCAATGGAACACAAACCTGATTTCAGCAGTTTAACTCTTAAACCTTGGTATCAGTCTGGTGAATCTGCACCTGAAACTATTAATGGGAAGAGCACTTCCAAAATTATGGAATGATTCACCTGAGAAGGAGACCATTTGGTCCATCTTGCCTGTGCAAGCTCTTGGAAAGAGCCAGACCCGACGAATCTACTGTTACCCTAGTCCCGCAAATTAATGAATGACCCCAGTTCTCCTTTGAAAGTCACCAGTGAATTGCTTCTGCCATTCTTTCATAACATCTCACCATCAACATTCGCTTTTCTGTCCTGACCTCTCAGATTCCTTTTCCTTTTCCCGTAAATCTGGTTACTGACCCACTTGCGTCCGGAAACAGTTTCTCCTCATTTACTTACAGCAAACCCCAAATGGTTTTGAATACCTCAATCAGAGCCTCCTCTGAGGACAGCAACTCCTACTCCTCCAGAGGAGGAGGTGGAGATGGGTACAATAGCAACACTTAAGAGGCATCTTAACAGATATATGAACAGTCAGAGAATAGAGGGATATGGACGGTGGAGAGGCAAAAGGTTTTTTGTTTAGAAAGGTGTCATGTGTTGGCGCAGGCTTGGTGGGCCAAAGAGCCTGTTCCTGTGCAATACTTTTCTTTGTTCTTTGGTACAATCAACTTTGATGTTGTCAGGCAGAATGAGAGCTGTCAGGAGCCAGGTATGTCATACCTGTTTCTGTTGGGACCTTGTGTAAGACTGTTTCTTCACCCAAAAGCGGAGTGATGACATTGGGGTGGGTGGAGCTAATGCAAATTCAAAATTAACTCTTCCAAAACCATTCCTGTCAGCAAACCAGAGCCATGCCCAATAGGACCATTCTCAGAAATACGGTGTGTTTCTAGTGGATCTGACTTCAATTCTGCCAATTCTTAGGGACCACGAGGGGCCTGTATAACTATCAGTGGTTGAGGATTGGCCATGAGAGAGTCTTAACAAGAAGAGGCACTTATCTTACCCGATGAGCTGTAATGGACATGATAGCAATAGGTAATTCCAGTCACAGAGCATTCTCACACCAATGGCTATGGCTCAGGAAAAGGGAATTTCTAAATTATGAAAAAAGCAACTTCTTCATGCAACTGCAATGAGTCTGGGGGAGCTTCAACAATGGGACCCTTGTGCTCAGCTCTCACAACAGTGAGTGTTGACTTTGTTACCAACACAAAGCCCTGGTTACATGGTGTTTAGAGTCACTGTGAGCAGTATTGGGCAGCACAGGAAGGAGGGGAGAGCCGTGTCAATTCAGCAGATTGAGACATTAGAGACAAGAGTCAAACTACAAAAAAGAAAAGGACAGACTTACATTTCTAAATTGCTTTTCTATTGCACTTTTCAAGACAACTAGCCATTTCAAAATGCTTCATGGCCAATATGGCACCTTTGAAGTGGTGTCATTGGTATCATGTAAGAAATATGACACCATTCTGTACACAGCAACTTTCCACAGCAGCACTGTGACTATATCATCAGCTTTGGTGATGTTGACTGATGGATACTTATTGGCAAGAGAGCAAG